ACGTCTGCAAAAGCAGCCAGGACCAACGGCTTAACGTGCCTTCCGAACCACGGAGTAGCTCGAGAAAACATTTTGTTGGTCACCCATCACGTCATCATCATCGCAGGCAGCAGCGCTTCTCCACTACGCCACTAAGTAACTAAGCAAAGAGGAATTGTTATTTCTTAGATCCAAGTCTGTTAAAAGTTGATAACAATTGTAGATGCAGTCAGGACCAACGGCTTAAGGTACCTTCCAAAGGATGGAGGAGCTTAAAATAATAAATTTATGGTCACCCATACGACCGGACCGTGTGAAAGTTGACTAACAATCTGTAGATGAGAATTGCAGACCGAACGTGTCAACCACTGCACCAACGAGTTCTAAAAATATGATTACTAGAAAATAATCACATTAGTCAGTCAGCTAAACGTCAGGTCCAGTGGGAATAAAACTCTAACAGTTTTAATTTGATGCCTTTTACACCGGAGGCCGTTTCTCAAATAACTAGTCCCACCGGTAAATATCATTGTGGAATTGTTTACGATTTGGGTTCAACCCTGGAGTCAACGGCCCCAGATCTCAACGGACCGATTAGAATATTCACAATTTAACTTAACCCATCAGTGTCCTGTTTATGTTTACCTTACAGGTTGTAGATTTTCATTGTTAGATAATGTCGTTTTTGTTAACAGTGCCATCCTATTTGGAAACTAAAGTACTTAGTCAAAGGGATAACTTAATAAAACAAAATGTATGACGGTTATTACTGTTTGTGTTGTTAGATTCCAAAGTCGATAATAAAACAAAACCATTACGCCGTTAGTATACCAACGCAATTGAATGAAAATTGATGTTTAAAATTTTTGTTTAACTTTTTTATTTGTGTTTTAATATGCATTAATTAATACTAATATAGGTATTCACAGGTAAACTATATTTTATAATGATGGTTTTTAATTATTTGTAAATACAAATTGCATGAAATGGATAAACAAAGGGACAACTAATGTCACCGTACCCAGCATGTGAATAACTAATATTATCTATATATACCTTTACATGTAATACCTTAAAATATAATTGGGGATTGGACAACTTCCTGAAAACTGTTTTCAATGTATCACTTTGGGCTCATAATGAGGTTTTTTACATAAAAAATATTATTTATGTAAATAAACCCCTGCTGGACATAGGCCTCCCCAATTGCACGCCATCTATTTCGATTTTCGGAGTGTGGAAAAGTGGACGAATATGGGCTGATGATGATGATGATGATGAAATAAACCCCATTATGTTTGAAAGAACTGAGGACGTGACGTAATTTGTGGGGTAAACAAAAAGGATTTTCAGTGAAAAAAATGAATTATCGTATGCAGTACTTATATTTAAACTCACAAATAAATAATCTGACCCTTGTTACCTGTCGAAGCTCAATGAAAGCTTTAATCTCAGTTGTCTTGGCATGAGACTTGTTCAGTGCAGGAAAGAACGATCTCAAATTATTTCTGCTCATTATTTTACTTCTATTTTCTTTAATTTTTTATAGTTTAACTGAACAAGTTCTTGCCACGGCAATGAGTACACCTTTTCAGTTGACACATAATACTTTATTTTTAAAGGTGCATTCCAGTGCATTCCTTGTATGAATGAAACTCTGAACATATTGAGTTATACAATGTTACGTTTACAAAACTTTGTAGTATGACCAAAAGAACATTTAAAGCTTACGGGCTTAATATATTCCTCTACAGGTACAAGGCCTAGACCATAGTTCACACGTTCGGACAGTACATTACCTGCAAATGTCACCGAAACAGTCTGCAACGGAACTCTACCATCAGGAGTTTGTCAAGTAAATCTACGTACACCCAATATGGAGAACTAATAAGTTTGTTAAAAAGATTTTTGCAGGTGAGATCAACAGGGCTGTATTTAATAATTCCTATGCATTCTGAAGTTATAACAAGAAAGAGGAATTAGACAACAGAGAATTTGCATTCTTCGCATTATCAAAGATAACAGCATTCCGTTAAGCATGGACTCTTTTAATTTCTTTCACACCTTTATTGTACCTACCGATTGAATATACTATTCAAATAAATGGGTTCTTTATTTCCAATTTAACTTTTTTCTTTGTTTTTTGTATATAAACTGGAAATACTGTGCCTGAATAATTCTCAGGATAGCTACGTATGTAATTTTTCTTGAAGTATGGCGCATGTTTTACCTCCTCATTATCATCAGAAAAGTCCACCGCAAAACCTGCTTTTCTTTTTTAACCATGTGTAGGCTTGCTGCCTCCACTATCTTAACCCAATATCAACTTTCAGTTACAAATTTATGCGAAGTTTACTTGGACTATAACAATAAAAATAAATTAATAATCATGTTAAGGAAAAAGATACACTTTCAGCCCTAAAAAGTCGCTACAATGTAAAAACAATAGACAATGAGTTGAAACAAAGTGTATAAAGTTCCATTTTTAAATGTCTTAATAACTTTTTAAATATTGATTATGTAGGTGGCCTATCCCAGAAACTTATAGTGTGATCTATCCAATAATCACTTTTTTCAAATAATTTAGTCTAATACGGACAGATTAAAACATATAATATGGATCTGCACAAATAGTTTTGTTTTTATTTATAAAATACTGAAAGAACTACATCGTCTTAATTATCTTGAGGATTTCTTGTTACGAAAAAATCTGATATTATATATATATATAACAGCATGGTAATCAAATTCTCGCCCGAATTGAAATAAAGTTAATAAAATTGTTAAATTAAAATATAGTATAAGCGTATATTGTTAGGTAAATAAATTTTCAAACATCTTTAGTTATACATTAAAATTAATTTCAAACCATACTGTCCAATTAAAATTGATTACGTAAAATTAGCTTTGCACGGTGGTTTATTTCTGTTGCATCAATACACGGCCCAAACGCCCTGCTGTCTACCACAGAGACTGACCGTAAGCCTGATAATTGAATAGATTATTCTGGTAGATTTCCTGAGGCAACAAAGCGATGAATGGTCTGATTATCGGGTCGATCAATCCATAAACAGTTTATGTAACAGATAAATTTTGCCGAAGTTTGTTTGTTCTCTCGAATGAACGTGGGCGAGCTGCAATTCGTATACAACTCAAAAGTAAATTATTTTAACCGAACTAAAATATCAATACGCACTGCTCGTATTTATAATTCATAGTCATAGGGCGCGATTTTATTAATATTAACGTAATTATAGTGTGACAATGACATTTCAATAACAGCTTTTAAAACATATCGTTACTATATTGCAAAAAAAAATACAAAATAATCTATCACATTGATTTATCAGATATCTTTGTACTGATAATATTTGAGTTAAGGTGATTAATGCAATTAATTGAAACGCCATTGAAGTGCCATTACTACACTAAGTAATAAAAACCAAGAGTAATTTACATATTTTTTATAAATTTATTCTAGGTTCAAAAAAGTAACACTGAGTATAAACACTGCTATGTTTACCAGTGAAGTACGGCGTATAATTGTATATTAAGTATTCGTTTTCTTCTTTCTCGTCGTTGAATTTGTGACAATTCTTCCTACATTCATCCACAAAGAAGTCCATGAAATATCTATTAGCCTCTATTGCGTTTTTTGAATGTACATAATCTTTATTCACTTTCCATTCGAAAGCTGGCTTCTCTGGATGAAATTGTACACCATAAAATGGATATCTAAAAATATATTCCCATCAGAGTTATAATTAAGACCGCAATCAAAAGAGTATTATAATAAATCTTTATGTACAAAAATCAAAGTTTCATTTTCTTTTAAATTAAGGTGATGAATGGAACTTGGTTATCTGCTTTGCATGCAATACAGCGTCGAACAAAGCGGTGTAACAGCACTAGAGATTCGATCACATTAAAGCTTTACATATATAGAATATTCTTTATTATAGAAAACAAAACAAAATACAATTATTTTGTTTAGTTTTATTGCGTTTGACTTTGTATTTTCAACAGAAGAACACTAATATTGGTTGCAAAAATGTTATATTTTGCGCCTGTAATTTACTATAATTCATAACAATCTCAGAATAGTTTCTATAATATTTCCCGAACACATAAACCAGACGATGTTACAAATAACGCTTAAAATAAATATTAAAGCTTACACTGCTTTGCATTTAATACAGCGTCGAACAAAGCGCCGTAACAGCACTAAAGATTCGATCACATAAAAGCCTTACATATATAGAATATTCTTTATTGTAGAAAACAAAACAAAATACAATTATTTTGTTTAGTTTTATTGCGTTTTATTGCTTTGTGTTTTCAACAGAAGAGCACTAATATTGGTTGCAGAAATGTTGTCTTTTGCGCCTATAATTTACTATAATTCATAACAATCTCAGAATAGTTTCTATGATATTTCCCGAACACATAAACCAGACGATGTTACAAATAACGCTTACAAGAAATATTAAAGGTTACACCTGTGGTCGCAGTCTCAATTTAAACGACTTTTTTTGAATTCATCACTACTGAATTTTGGAATGATTTTCTATAAATAATTTTAAAGACATTATGTACAATTACTACCTACCTCCTGTGTTCAATACTTGCAATGAATTTCAATCCATTTTCGTCGTTGCTATATGAAGTCACACGCCAGTCTCGCGTGAGGTTATATTTTTTTAAATTCTGAAAAACATAAATAATATTATAGGTCTTACTCGTAAAAATACTCACGGTCTTAGTAGATGTTACATACTCGTAGTCGAAAGGAAAATCAACATAACATGTATCCCATGAGATCCAAATATTTATTCGCTGTAAATAATACTCCGTCTCATTTCTCAGGCTATAATTTTTTTTTTTTGCTAATTTTCTGAGAAATCGGATGGTCAGATTTTCAAACTGCTTTAATTTGTACACAGTTCTCTGGTCTAGAGCTATATATGCACCTTATATTACGATAATTTTTATTAAATAGCTACAACCTTAAAACAGATAATTTATGTATTGTTAAGTACGGTAATCAATAAGGATGTGCTTAATCTTTAATAAAATGTAAAACAATCGCAGGTGTGGGTATTGTTATCACTACAACAATGCATACGCCACTCGACTCACGGAACTCACTTCATCTACGATACAGAATTGATGAACGTTTATAGTGGCATCCTCTTTTTCCAGCACGTCCGCAACTTTATCAGTAATACGACTAAACAGCTTGCTCCTCCGGTAATCTGTAATTGGTAGGTCCATTCATTTTAGATCTTTTTAGTTCCAATCTGCAGAAAAAACGACTAAGATCATACGAAAACCAGTTTTTCGCGTATGTCTCATGTCCTATTCTCGCACTCAAAATTGTTTCAATAATGTATAAAAACATTTCGTTGATGTTTCTATAATCTGCGATTTCCGTGGCTCTTTATCCGGCAGGATATTAATTTTCAATTTTTTTTTAATATTATCTAAATTATAGTCGAACCTATTCGAACCAGATCCGATATAATTAGTGAAGATTATCTATATATCGGAGATGACGGAGATTTTAACCAACAATTGAAATACATATATTTGTACAAATAAATTGACTAACCACAGTTATACTTTCGTATATTCACATATACTTTGTCATGATTTAACAACTAGCTTCGAAAGATTTTAGTAAAAATATATATTTGTAAATAAAACGTTGTAATCGAACTGTCTATATATACGTTCATAGTGAAGCCCTATCAATCAAGTAATGTGAACGCCTCGTAAATCCTACAGGGGATACAAATGAAAATTGTGTTATATGTCACTTGGACGGTGGTTGTACCCTTCCAAGGAAAGGTCTATGCACTACTTGGAGGATATCACGATGCTTTACAAACATTCTGTACAAATTGAGTTTATAGAAGTTTAAGGTATATGACTAAATATAAAATATATAGATTCACCTGGGATACGACTACCTAACTCTTTTACTATGACTCTAGCCATAGGATACCACATCTTAGAGCTATTTTGTTTCGTTTTGTTTTGTTTTATTACTTTGACATACATGTTTCTTTTACCACATTAATGATTCGCAAAAAAGGCTACGATGTTTTTAAGCCTAATAACTTTTCGCAGTTATCTGATGCGCCCCCGCTCGCCGCACGCAAAACAATTATGAACTTAACTTTCAACTACTTAGGGCTCGAAATCGAATGGAGAAATTTCTCTTTTAGTAACAGCTTGACGTGCTGTCAACTGCACAATAACCAATGTCAACTACAGTAACTTGAATATAATTCATTAGATATTAACGTTTGTATTTGATTATAAACTTCTGTTGCTAATGCCCTTCTCACCCTAAAATTTCATTATAACATATAATGTACATAGTTTTACCATTACATATATTTAGTCAATTCCATCCATTAGCGTTGCATCCTTTGGATATTTTTATAATCAATTATCAATAAACAAGTTTTTTTTCAATTGTCGTACTTTACCTAGTATAGAAACAGAATACATAAACTTACCCCTAGTAAAAATTATAGGAAAATTTCCGTAAGCGCGACATGTGACCCTGTTTTCAGGTTCCTGTCTGCCCGATGCCAATATAACTAGTAATTCGAAACCAAGGCACGTGCCAAACACGGGGAAGTAGTCTCCGGCGTCGTTCAGCTCCTGAGCAATCTCGTATATGTGCTGGCCGGCGTCCGCGTATCCATTTGATTGATTGAACCACGTGGCGCCTCCGGGGAACAAAACTCTACACATTTGATGATAAAATTGAATTAACTAAAAATATATATACAGATATATAAATATATTTTATCAGTGTCAGATGCCTAGATGGGATTCGAACCTACAATGTTCGCAATAGAGGTGACTGTTAAAAAAATAATATTAATATACTTTTACATATAATATTGTGAATGCAATAATGAAACATAACTAACAAGCTATTTTCTAGCTAATTTGCCTGTGTAAAGGGTAACGTATGCCACTCGAGTTTAAAAAGCTACATTATACTCGGGTGACATATGTGACATAATTTTTTAAATCGATTCAGTTGTTTCAGAACCTAGGCAATGCAAACAAAAAATTAAATCTTTTTTTTTTAAATAATGGTATATATATTCAAATTTTGTCTATCATAATTTTGTCAACATATTTTTCAATAATATATTATTATATATATATTATATTTTAATATATTATTATTGAAAAATATGTTTAATAATATATTATTATTGATAAATATGTTTAGATAGAGAATATTTGATGAGCAATAATTATATTTATTATTCTGTTTTACATTACTTAAATTCACTTTTTATTTAATATCACTAAAAATCATAAAGGGTTGATGCAAATCTAACGGAAGATCCGTCAAGAGCCTCACTGAAGTAAGTATGCGTAAGGGACAGTTTTCACAAAGCCGCAGTAGCCGATCCAATCCAGTAAAATTAGAGACTGTTCCATGTCATTAGACTGGCTTAATTATTGGCTTGAAGATGATAATTTAAACGAGGCCAATATTGAACTGACTTATTCTCAGCAGTGTACTAAGCATTCGCCACCAGCACCACATCTAAAATACATTAATCCTTTGTCTTTCTCGGACCAGGATTGTCCACGTTTCCACTCCATGCAGGAAGATAGGGAATATCAGAGCTCGTATCAGTCTTATCTTTGTGTTGATATACTAATCCCTTTTTTCTTTCAGACTTTATTTAGACATCATCCATTGTGTTTCGTCACCAATCCTTATTCATAAGTATATGAATTTTAAATTGTCAAAAAATAGGAATTTTAGTGTTTTCAATTTAAATAACTTTCAATCGATGCTTCTGTGTGGGTGAATTATACAGGAACAAATCGCAAAAATCATTCACTTTGTGCCCGCGAGTTTTAATTTTACAAACTTGAGGACAGTTGAACGCCATCTACAAAACGTGTAACATCATATACTGATCTGGACGACTAAATCCTTTAAGCGTGTGTCTGCTGTGCATGTGATGTAAAAACTGCGTTAACTCCATATATCGGATATACTGGACAGTAAAGGAACCGGCCGGTGCCCGATCGAGGTGGAAGTGCGGCTGCTACACATGGCCATCCCTATCCGCCTTTTTATTTCAGAGACACTGCTACCATCATTTCAGACCTAGATTCCCAAATACACGTAACGGTTGACCATAACGACGCCAGGAATACCACATGAGACATTTGCAAGATTTCCGGCTCGATCCAACATTTGCAAGATCTACTACCATGATCGTGGTTTTCGCTCTGTTCATCGTGAGACCACAGTTGCCACTTTCTAATTCAAGTTTTTGGGATAGCTCGCTCATATCTTCCATGAATGTTGCCAGAAGGATTGTTCCCTTGCCTTTAACGAGCCCTGCTTGTTCTTCGGGTATCTCTCGGCTTTAAAAGTAATTGAGACGGCGATAAATTACATGAAGAAGAATCTTACTTGCATGAGATATTAACACGATAGTCCTGTAATTTGCATAATCTTTTGAAGAACCTTTCTTGTGCAATGGTATAAATCCTGATTCTGTTCACTCTTTTGGCCATCTTCCAGTTTTCCAGATGGTATTACAGATTCCAGAGGTTTTTTTAATATTACGGCTGTGTTGGCATCTTTACTCAGTGATTTATTACACTTAAGAGTTTTGATGTCATACTCAATTTCTGATAGTAGAATATCAAGTTCTTCCGTCGTCCATGTGATAATAGCGTCAAAAGACTATCCCGCGTCATACAACTTCACGCAGTAGTTTTTTCTACCCTTGAGCCACGTCAGTAAGTGAGCGCGCATCTCCATCTTCAATGGCACATGTTTTCATTTTATGTTCACCAGTCAATTCTTTGTTTGTTTTTAATGATATATCTATTAATATTTACATTAAACTTTGGCATATGTACTTTACAAAAAAGATCCGCGTGGCCATCTGAAGACAGTGATGGTCAACATCAGTCAAGACTACATTAGTTTCAGATATATTGGTCAGAAAATTGTCTAACATGATCTAGCATTACCACTGAGGTATGTACGTAGATGAAGCAACTAGTGGTTTCAAGTTGTAACGTTTTAGTTGGCTTAAAAACTTTGTTGTATTTATTATTCGTCATTAAATCTATATTAAAATCACCACATAACAGGCGCTTTCTTGTCAAAAAATCTAATAAAAATTGTAATAGTATCATAAAATCGTCAAGAAATGACTTTTTGTCATTTCTATATATCCTATTAATATTATAAATGTGAAAGTTTCTTTGTTTAGATGTTTGTCGGTCAATCACACCGAAACTACTGAACAGATTTTGATGAAATTAGGTATACAGATAGGGTATTAGCTGACTTAGATAATAGGATACTTTTTATCCCACTTAACATTTACATTTCTCAGAGCTTAGTATAAGACTCTTTTCATATTTATTATTATATTAAAAGAAGCCAGTTTATACAATTAGTCAAGTTTTGTTAGTTTTATATTATCACTATTTATGAAATGGTCTGTTATGAGGATAATGAGGTTGATGTTGGACCTCATTCAAGTAAATATCTACTTCATGTTTTTTTGTACTAATACCACATACATTCTAGTGAAAAATATGCAACAATTTAACAGATGCATTGCCGTTGGAAACTCTACTAGATTTAGTTGACATATTGATATTTTCATTAATTTGTAGTGATACAAAAAAATTCGCTCTCTATTTGTACATAATTAAAACTCTTTAAAATTCTTTTTACTGTTAACTTGAGTTTCTACATTTTTATAACTTAACAATATTATATCCAACACCAGTGTTTTGCATGCACTATTTTTGTCTAATTTATGATTATTGAAGTAAAACAATTCTGAATGTAGTAAATTATCCATATTTGGGCTTATTAGCCTTATCATCTCATTAAGCTTATTCTCATTATATATACTTTTATCAATTCGCCCAAATAATACATTAGTGTCCTTTAATATATTTAAGCAATAGCATACTGCAGATTGAAACTTAAATATGTTGCTATCATGCTTACCGCCCAGCATTATTACATAGTCTTATTTAGTAAAATTTTGACATTGTGAATTGTACCCTGATTTTTTGTACGAATAGGACTTCAATACCGACGTCACATGATAAGAAGAATCGAGACACTTTGCTAATTTGTTTCTTATTTGTCTTCCCGATTCATTGGCCAGTATCAGAACATGATATTTCACAGGTAACTTCATATATTTAATTGGTATCTATGCTTTGCATGTTCGGAGCAACCTTAGGTTTCTTTATACTCAGTTGAAATGTTGCTACAAGAAGTTGATGATCGGAGTCGCAGTCAGCACCGGGGAAAATCTTGACATTCTGAGCGCTACTACTCCATCGCGTTCTCATCAGCATGTAGTCAATTAGATTTCTTAATCTGTCGCCAGGGTACGTCCAGGTATATAATCTTCGGATATGGCGTTGGAAGCACAAAAATTCCCCTCGCAGCAGAACTTGGGTGCTTCAAAAGAGGTGTGAAAAGGCTCTTAAATAGGCCGGCAAAATAGTGGTGGCTACCAGGAGTAGTTTCGACTTCTGACAGCTGCGACTATTTTTAGACTGTAATATCACTTCCCACCAGGTGTATTACAGTCACTTTGTCGTGCAACAATTAAAAAAAAAAAAAAACTGTAGTAGCCGCACCTCCTATCATTGCACTCTCCAATCCCATATCCTCCTATAACACGACGAAGTCGTCATCGGCTTTAGTATATCTAACTTTGGCATTGAAATCTCCTACGATTATGGTGACCCGAGAGGTCACTGGAAGTTCTTTTCTTCTTTTGGAAGTTCTTTAAATGACACAGTTAGCATATCGTAAAAGCCTTCCTCTTCTTCAGTTGAGTGTGCTATGGGCGCATAAACCTGCACGATTTTAAGCTTCCACTCCTCTACTGCTATCAAGATCTGGACCGGAGAAATTCACTGTACTCCCGAGGTCAGAAGTGAAATGAACTTATCCTTTTCCATGTGTTTCACTTAATCCTAGCAACAGCATGTTCCTATTCATTTCCCTTTCAACAATTTGCAGATTTCCATGATGGTGCAGGTCGTGCAAGTGAGGATGACCATTGGGCCGGTTAAAGTATAATTTCCGTTCTCCTCTTACTCCCTTTCTTTCTCGGCTATTGGACTCGTGTACATAGATCATTAATAAGTGACGGACCTTCGATCCGGTGAGCAAAGTTGAACAACATTTATTTTTCAATTCCGACGCTCCGCGAACACATACAATACGCAACACGTCTTCCGTCATATATACACCGACCCTAATTATATACACATAACAAAAATCTTCTTACCCATTTATCTTTCCCAAGAGATCTCTATAGTAACCACGATTCTTACCGATGCTAAAAAAATTAAAGACACGTTTAGCAAACCGGTCGGTAAAAATGGAAAATTATAAATATTATAACAATAAGTCCTTTTTATCCGTCTCACGGTATAGTATTTTTTTCATAAATTTAATAATTGACCTCTTAATATAGATCCCTTGGTTTAATTAATGAATTTATATATGCTAGGACTTTCAACTACAGTTTTCAGCCTTACATTGTTAACAAAAAAACCCAATCCATCCAGTAGTTTTAGAGTAAAATAGTTACAGACAGACGGACGGACAAGCAGGCGAGTGATTCGGGTGCGGAATCCCATGAAGAACTACTCAAGACCAATATTATTTTCCATATAATTTACTCACAGTATCGGCACCACTCTCGCCCCTGAAGCCTCCACGCCTTTCACATAAGAAGCGGCAATGTAACTAGTGTAATTATCCTCAGAGTACTTATCTTTCAAACGGTAATGTTGTTCTTGGGAAAGAATGCCTATTATAGGACGGTCATTCATTATTCTCGGTTCACTCGTGACCACCACAGCACTATCACATGACAACAAAAGCAATCCACTTACTATAAATAATGTTTTCAAAACAACAACCATAATTACAATGCTAATCCCAAAGTCCGTTCCCCTAAAAACAAACAAAATTGCTTGAGTACAAAACAACACTATTATCTAACTGATTGACTCTTACAACATCACCATGACATCACACACACGATTTATCAAAAATATCAAATAGGTAAAGTTACATTTTTCAATATAGCGAACGTTGCCTCAGCTGCTATCTCAAATGAAACTATTACTATTGTTCGTAACATAAACGCTAATAATACAATTTCTTGGAGCAACTGTCACTACCGATATCTTAATGAAACTGACCACATTACTGCTACTGTTGATACTTCATTAATAATATAAGCCGTTGTATATTCCATATGCTTCATCGCCTTATAAAACTGGGTGCACTAAAATAGCTTTTGCCTCCTGCCCTGCTAAAATAAACGCACACTACTGAAACAACCCGCTACCTACACATTGACTCTTTGTTTTTATATAACTAGCTATCCGCCAGCGACTTCGCACGCGTGGTAAAACGTTTATTTAAACATCAATCACAATGTCAAATTTAATAGTAAACAATGGTTACTATGGCAAAGTTTTTATTCCGCATACAAACTTTCTCTCCCATTATCATCACTTTATTGGCTATATTTCGGGATAAAATACCGCATATGATATAGTTTCGAGTAGGTGAAAGAATTTTATAAAATCGGTCAAGTAGTTTCAGAGCCTTTTCGATGCAAACAAACAAACAATCAAATCTTTCCTCTTCATAATATTAGTATAGTTAAAGAAACATGGATATTTTAATTAGGTCCAACGATAGCTTAATCGAAAATAACAAACCTTTAACTCACTCTGGTTGAAATCTATTTTTTCGTGAATAAATCAAACTCCTATCTTATTATTGCAAAATATTGAAATCTGTTATTATCGCTATTATCTTGTTTATACAAGACCAGTAAATTATTTTATCAAACTAGTGACATTTTAACGTAACGAAAAATGTGCATACTTCTTTAAAAAATCAAATCGATTATATTCAAAATTAACACATACCACTGGAACTACACTTCTGGAAGTTGTGTTCGATACGTAGGTACTAAAATAGGAATATGGTATTAATAATAATAAATAGGGGAACTTTTCTCGTTTCTTCAAGGGACCGGGAAGAAAATTATGTTTGTTCTCATATAATAATAATATAATGTTATGTTCACCTCCACTATAATGTGATTAGAAAATAAATCAAAAGGTTTTGCGCCAATACTTTTTTCTTCAGCACAGTCACGCAATTTGTTTGTCAAGGTTACTATTTTGGTATCTAAGACAAATAAGCGATTTAACAGAGAACAACGCCATCTATCGATATTAATTAATTTGATCCACCAAATAGAATTTAACGACCATAATTAAATGCATTGCTTAACCAAGAGTATTTTATTTACGAAGAAATACTTTTCTGCGAGTACATTAAGACACAAAACACTTAGTGAAAAAAAAAATCCCCTAAAAGAATCCCTAAAATATAAATTAGTATTTTAGCTTCGCTTTAGTATGCTATAATTACATTATTTCTCATCAATATGCTAATTTACTAATATTATCACACTCTGATAACAACCCTACATAATTTCAAGTATTTGGTATTCAAAATTTACATTGATTTCTAGTTCATTATATCAGGTAGGTTGGGAAAAGTCTTTTCGCATATAGTATGAATAAAATTGTAATAAAATCTTTCTGGCTATACCATTTGTATCTGGCTAGTTTCGGTATCATAAAAAGATTTAACTTTAAAGAAGATAATTCCGAATTCAAATTAGGAAAATGTGTGATTTTCATTTGTTTTTCTAACTGTCTTAATGAGTGAATCTAGTGAAGAAATTAGATACATTTTAATATTTTGAAACTCACACGATTTGTATACATTATAATTATATGTAACCGGGTATTGTAAGTGTCGCAATCGCAAAGAACCACGAACAATATTCTCGGATACCGTGAGTGTAGTGGGTCGCCACCTTTACGTATAATAAAATCAAGTGAAGGGTACATCTGAAAATCTGTTAAAAACATTATTACCGGATTACCCTCACGCCTCAACTAAAATCAGAAGACGACGCCCGCCAGTTTTCCAGTCTCCTCGTGACCACGACTGCTGCAACGTAGCCGAAACGTCGAGGTAAATAAATAGTTTTAAAATAATGCACAAATAAGACCCAGTTACATATAATTATTACATATTTTAATATTTTTATTACAAAAAAAATAAAAATGCCACGCGAGTCGCGAAAAAATTTGGGACGTTTATAGACCTAGTGCAGTTTCTGTGAGAATAGCATAAATTTGGTTAAAGCGTTTCAAGTCCGGAAATTTTGATGCTCAAAGATGCACGTTGCTCCGGTCGGCCTGTTACAGATAAATAGATGCCTTTTTTTAAAAGTGGAGCAATATCGACATATCAGTAGTTACGATGTAGCTGAAGAACTGGGGATTGACCACAAAACAATCTACCTGACGGATAAACAAACAAATCGTTAATTTGACTCTAACTATGGTCATAATAATTGACATGAAGGATTGAAGAATATTATAATAATAAGACTGCAAAATGCAAACTACAATATAATAATTACTATCCGTAACGCTACACGTAGTACCTAAGATTTTGTTCTAAGGGTGGCATCACAGTTTAATAGTGTGGCATTTAGTCAAGTTTTATTTATTAGTTTAAAATTTTTTTTTGATTTAAAATACAATACAACTAAACAATAAAACAAATAGTAAGTATTCAGTTATTGAATGTCTTAAAAAACGGACAATGCTACTCATGATATTATTGGGTCTGTCGATCATAGCACATCCCGTTAAAATTCTTAATCTGATATATTATTTAAGCTTATAAAAAATATTATTAATATTGTTGCATCTTAGTACACGCCGCACGTCACGCTACACACTACCACCGTAAGTAGACTTCTGTTAGTAGGGTAGTTCTCCTTGAAACTAGGTCGAAACAAAATTCCAAAATGTATAGTCTTACGTGCAGCCGTATGTCCATGATGTCAAAGAAGTTATTAAGTAGAATACAATAATAGAGAATAACAAAAAATAACATTAAAACGCGTTCTGTATTAACAAGTTTTATTATTTCTAATAATTCTCATTTGGATAAAGGATCCATTAATTAAATTAACTTATTAACTCCTCTCGGTTCAAAGAAGTAACATTCATGGTGTTGACTGCCTAAAACACCAGTAAACTTCGCTTCATAATTGTAAATTGCATATGTATTTTCTTCAGCTGCATTTGCGAAAGTATGAAAGTTTTTTCTGCATTCATTTACAAAGAAATCCATAAAATATCTGTTCGCTTTGATCGCTTTGAACGAATGGGGATAATTCTTCGACAGTTTCCATTCAAAAGAGTTTTTCTCCGGATGGAATTGCACTCCATAAAATGGGTATCTGCGAATCAAATTGCTTAATATTAATGGTACTTAATAAAATAATTAAGAGCCGCAATATCTTTTAACTAAACGCATGGACTAAAAGGCTAATGTAACTCATTTGACAAATAACAAAACTAATATACATGTTTTGGTTGTGTTGCTAATTAAAACTCATAAAAACCAACATGACACCTGAGGGCCTATTCTATGTCGAACCTTCTCGAACGAAAATTCGGCAAAATTTCGAATCATTCCTATAATTTTATGAAAATTACATCCGTGAATATTATCGGTGCATCAGAGGCTTAATGATCTCATTAAATCTAAATCAAATAATTTATTGGCCATATAACTCACAAAGTTACACACGGCAAGTCTTTTACAATAAACCTTTCAAATTAAATAAAGGTCAAAATCATGCAGGTCAAATATGATTTGACCTATAATGATATAGAAATGTCAAATAAATTAAGTATTTTATCAATGTCAAGTTGGTTATTTTTACAGTTCTTAATAATCAATTACATCACAGTTAATTAAATTGCCTATTATTACAAATTAGATTATATAAACATATAGGTAATATATAATTTTATGTCAAAAATATTGATGATTCTTAATTTGAATAAATCTTCAGGTGTCAGGTTAATTATTACGAATACTTACGATTATACCTATATATGATTTCTTCGGTGGCGTAGTGTAAATTAAAAAGTTTATGGAAACAAATCAGGTTAAGAGTGATAGATAGGAAAAAATATATTTATCAAAATTTTCCAACTTTTAGTTTACATAACTTGATTTTTAGTTTTCTAATTTATACACCAATAGAGATCGTCTTATTTAGAATATTCACTTATATATGTTATACGGCCTGAATACTTAATAATTCACTGGGTCTAGTAATTTTGCAGAAAGTCGATAACTATAGATGTAATCAAATATCAATTAGCACCCACCAATCCGCACAAGTCCTGCGCGGTAAGTTGTAGCCCAGTTTTCATATTATATTAGAAATTATTCATAGAGAAGACATGTGCCAGCAGTACATACATTAATGAGATTTCCTGCGTGTCATATTTACTTGCCTTTTGAGTTCCTCTTGCTTTGAATGTTTTACATAACCTTGCATGTTATCGACTCATTCTTAACTTTCTGTGAGAACATCCCTTAAAGAAATTTACCGATAATTATCACTTTTTACGCAGCCTTCCTCTTCCATCCTTCCCGCTGCATTTATCCTTTCTTTCTGTCGATGTCTCATTCTTCATTCCTGCTAGCATCTTCTTTTACTATCATCTGTCTTCTTCTTCTGAGAGTAGTCCCACCCTGAAGCCCATCTCAACGCTTTCAGGAAAAAGATCTCGTTCTTTCGCACCAAACCGATCACAAAAATAATTTCTTTAATACTCAGATCACGATTAACAATAATGATTTCCCACCACAGATAGACCATAGATATCCATACGGCCCTTCCATATAGTAAAATTAGACGATAGCCTACGGTGCTCGTATTAAAGCGTGATGAAAAAAGAAACTACTGATAACTTTACCTCGAGTGTTCTATCGATGCAATGAACTGCACACCGTAATCGTCATTAGAATATGATGTCACTAGCCAATCTTTTGTCAAGTTGAATGCAACAAGATTCTGGAAATGGAAGAAATCATGCTAAATTTAATTGAATCGGCCCCACAAAAATATGGAGAGTGTAGGAAGAATTCAATTCAATTTAGTGAGTGTTATAAAACTATTAAATAAAGTACAAAAAATATGTGACAGATATATATAAATGATATACTTGATAGCTTTTAATAAGTATTGTATTTTAAAAATTCTTAAAAATTTCACCAATCTAATTCTAATCATTAAACTACCCCAGATCAAACAAAACTAATTACTTTCATTTACTAGTGAGCGTATTTTCCCGGAGATGGGACACAAACCCATAACCTTTCGCAACCTGGGTGACTGCTCTAATCATTAAGCTACCTGAGATCCCAACATATTTCTTTATAGCTGAAAAAACATCAATAGCTGATAATGATGATGTTGACGATGAAATATTTACCTCGTCGACTATGCAGAATTGATGTGCATTGACCGTAACGTCTTCGGTTGCTAAAATGTCCACTACGTCGTGTGGAGCTTCCACAAACATTTTACTGTTACGGAAATCTAAAAGAAAAATGAAAGAAATTTAAGCTTTGCCGCTTATTTTTTTTTATGGTTGCTATTTTATTATTTCATATTCAATACCATTATGTTTCATTGTGTCCATTGTTTGATATTTATATTTGTGGCTATATACCTATTGTCTAGTATAATTAATACTTAATTACGAATAAAAAATCGCTAACCTGGTGTGAAATCAAGAGGCATATTTGAATAAGAGTAACATCTTATTCTATTCTCGGGTGTACCACGTCCTGACGCCAGGATGATCAGCAGTTCGAAGCCGAGGCACGTTCCGAATATGGGAAAGTAATCACCGGCATCATTCATTTCCATTGCAATTTCATATATATACTGGCCAGCGTCAGCATATCCATTGGACTGTTTGAAATATGTAGCCCCACCGGGAAATAAAACCCTGTAAAAATGAAAATGAAAAAAATTTGCACTCTCAAATCGTCCCAATGTACATTTATAACACCCAGTTGCGACATTAGTTTAAAACAACATCATCGAAACAAATTTTTACCTTAATTGATACCTTAAACGGTTACCTTAATAGTGTTTTGGATAACTGGGTATAACTTATAAGGTTATGTAAACTTTCTACATTTCGTATTAGTCGAATTAAGCTTCAAGTTATTATAATCAAGCCTATGTACGACATTGGAGAGATCACTGTTTACATCTTGAAAACAATAATTTCCCGTCTTAACTTTAAACACTAAGGAGCTATCCTCATCTACAAATAATACTGTCCCTCACAAATATGTCGTAGAATTAGGAACATCATTAATGTAAAATAGGAAAAGCAATGGTACTAATATTAATCCCTGAAACACCTAAAAGTTTAGTGAACTTTTTTAAACACAATATTGCTCTAATTCTCCTAACAGCATTTAATGTCTGGTGCAGTTGTAAGATTTTGACAGATCGCAAAAAATATCGATAGCATTCTATTTATTCTCCCAAGCATCATAAATACGAGGGTCAAACTGAAAGTTCTTAGAAAATCAAAAACTGATTACATTAGCCAGTTATTAGTTTTATTATATCTTTTCAAAATATTGTCCATTCACGTCAATACACCGCTGCATGCGATGGAACCACTGGGAAAAGCACTTTGCCCACTCGTCCTTAGGGGTCTCTTCAATGGCATCGCGATACGCAGCCACCGCTTCTTCAGCATTCATAAACCGCTTTCCTTTAAGTTTTTCTTTAATTTTTGGAAATAAATAAAAATCACAAGGCGCGAGGTCGGGGCTATACGGCGGGTGACCCAGTAATTCAACGTTTGATGTCGCCAAATAGTCGATCGTTCGCTTGGCGGTGTGCGACGAGGCGTTGTCGTGGTGAAGGAGGATCCTACTGCGAGGTCGTTTCTCTCGAACTTTTTCCAAGACAAGTGGCAAACAATTGGTAGTGTACCATTCTGCAGAAACTGTTTTTTGATCCTCTAACACAATTGTTGCAAAATGACCTATCCTTCCAAAGAACGAGGCCACCATTTTTTTTCCCGCACTTCGATCTCTCTTCACTTTAGTTGGCAACTCCTCGAAAGGAAACACCCACTGAGCAGATTGTCTTTTGGTTTTAGGATCATAACAGTAAATCCAGCTTTCGTCACCTGTTAGTATGTCGAACACAGCATTTGAGTCACCTCCGTTAAATCTTTCAATCATTTTACGACACCAATCCACACGATGGAGTTTTTGAGCCTCAGTCAAATTATGAGGTATCCACCGGGCGCAAAGCTTCCTGACCGCTAAATGTTCGTGGAGGATTTTGTGCACTTGACTCATACCGATGCCTAAGCTTGTCCGAATCTGTTGATAGGTCACTCTTTTGTCAGTCTCTATCATACGCCGCACAACACAGATGTTATCTTCAGTCGTCGCCGTAAAAGGCCGTCCCTCACGTAAATCATCAGTGAGATTAGTGCGACCACGTTTAAACTCATTAAACCAGTTGTAAACAGTCGCACGAGATGGGGCTTCATCGTGAAAGGCCAATCGTAGTCTATCATAACTTTCTTGTTGACTTAAATGACATCGAAAGTCATAAAAAATCATTGCACGAAAATTTTCTCGTGTTAAATTCATGATGACGTGACACAGACAATTTTCAATTTGCCGCCAAATCGTAAAACAAATGACAAATGAATGAAATATATACTCAGTAATATTGGCAAAGAGTTATATTTTCAAATTTTAGAATTATTTTTTTATTATATTGTTTATAAGTGGCCAGTTCTAAGAACTTTCAGTTTGACCCTCGTATACCTTTAAAACTCTAAAAAAGCCCTAACCTTTTTCTTTTTGAATTTTGTTATATTTTAATATTCTTATAGTTTCCAGACTAAGCCTACATTGGCAGGAAAATTTACCTATATACACACAACAGCACATCAGGATTATCACCAAATGTCTGAATTGCGTAATAGATTTTGAATTTAATATCCAATATTTAAAAGTTTAAAACAGCCTTTTAAAATCTAATGTGTTACTACGAAATATTATAATCACACGATGACAGTACCGTGATTTATTTCATATATTTTTGCTCATTATTCTCTACTGAGCAGAAATATATGGGCAGACAAAACTAATTATTCGTGTATACATATCTGACGACAAATGCGTCGCGTCGCAAATCATCGGTCGAGTAGCAATAAAACAGACAAATCTCAAATATATTTAGGAATTAGTGAAAAGGCATTTCACCAACAACTGGGAACCTAAAGACATTAGAGCAACGCCTTAAGTTATAACAGGCGTTATGCGCCATCTTCCACTAGACATGTGCTGTATATGACGATGATCGATGCGAATCTCACGGAAGATCCGTTAATTGCACCTATTCTACCTTAATACTACACTTACATCACAACTTACCCGTTTAATTTTTTCAGAAGATTTTTATAATACTCGCGGCTCTTACCTATCCTGAAACATGAAATTAACAATTATTTGAAACAAATAAAATTTACGTACTTCACCATTAAAATCGATAATCTTCTCTTACAGTATAGGTACGACTCGAGCGCCTGAAGCTTCAACATCTTTCACATAGCTGGCAGCTATATAGCTGGTGTAGTTCTCTTCAGGGTATTTTGTATGAAGGTAAAACGACTGTTCTTGGCTAAGAACTCCAATTATTGACCGATCATTGGTCACAATGGCATCTTTGGACGTTGCAGCGCCTTTACAGCCCAAAAAATATATTACTACCGTCAATAGCAATATTACTTGAACCATGGCTTGGCAACAGCTTTAACTTCTGACCTACAATATTTTATTACAGGTATTGTTTAATGTAAATTATCAGGTAAGCAACAATCCTATCTCTCTTTATTTCAATTGCTAAGCGATAAGTTTTTTCCATGTTTAAAGATAATATTTTATCTAAGATCAACTTTAAAAAATTCATGACTATGGTCACAGTAGATAAATAAATGTATTAACTTGATCACAGTAGATAATCTACTGTGACTAAGTGAAAATCACGTCATGATATTTCATTTTAGTTGCCAATAAATGACGCTAGTGATCAGCTCATACAAAGGAAATAAGTAAATTTTGAACACGAAAGCCTCTTTTAGAGGATAACATAAAAATGTTAAATAGCTAATTATATAAAATATTATATAAAATAGTTTTTTAAATATAACCAAATGGAAGGGGTTATATTTAAAGATAAATACTTTTGAAATTATTAAACAACATGATCGATAATTAAGTACGCTCCGATCTCCGAAACTACAGGCCCTAAAATCTTTAAAAAAATACGTAAAATAATTCTTTACCTGTAGTTTAATTAAAAACCTAATGGAACTATATGGTTTTTAAGTTAAATATTGTGAGGACGGTGCCCATTGCGCACAAGCCCGACTCATTCTTTGCCGATTTTTTTATTGTAAAACATCTCTACTAAGCTAGATGACTCATTTATTGAAGTATTACAGAGTCCAATAAAAAATTAGTTAATAAAGGCTCAACAACTTTGAGGTAGATAAAGATATTGTTTGTAAAATTGTAAAATGTATCTATAATATTGTATTGCACTTATTTTGAAAATTAATGTGTTAGTCAATACTAAAATTATATTGGAAGGTTTTATAAACTCAAATAAATTAACAGAAGCTGCAAATATTCACGGAATTGTATTGACAATCATAACAGACAGAAACTTGCAGAGGTAGATATAGTAAAATTAAAATTATATTTATTCTATTGTATTTGATCAATTTTTCATTCACAGTGCTATACTGATAAATATACTTAATGAAAAATGCTTAAAAAATCCACTTTGTCCCTGGTTCTTGTTAACTTCGATTTTATGAGTTACAGTATAAATAGGTAAACAATATAAATGTTGCTAGATTTACCAAATAGGCTTAACATTACACACTTACCTTTTGTCCTGTTTATGATTAACTTATATAAAGAATGATAAAACATTTTACAGTGAATAAATAATGTTATTATCAGATGAAAACTTATATTATCATTCATGATAATATTTAAAAATTGATATTAATAGCTAGTAACGTAATATACGTTAATAATGAACAAGAAAAATTTGACATCGTCATAATCGATGAACCACGCATGCGTACTTAACCTTATGGTTAAGAAGTGAAACTTCAGGAGTTTAGAGGAATCATCAGAATGAAAGAAATCAAAATTTTATAAGGTACATCTATTTGGCGAATCATTGTGATTTGTTATGATGGTTCTGTCCCCTTCCTTTTTGCATTTTCTATTGAAAAATATATTTCCATATGACAATTAAGTCAAGCCATGGTTGAAAAATACCAAAATTTATTTTAAATACACTTATTTTGATATTAGATATTTTGATATTAGATCTTTTAAACTACTCTGTTTTTGTATGAGCCGGCGAAAAACAATGCTTACTCTTTGTAGGCACAGTTTTGTGTGTTTGTGTTATATATGAACATCCAGTTTTTATGTATTACTCGATTAATAAAAAAAAACTGTTTTGCTAGCTTACTTACTAGCAGCAAGAAAAACAATTTTATTTGACTTGTCCAGTTTGCAACTGATCAGTTGAACTGCTCGCCAAGCTAGAGCTATACCTAGCTTTACTAATGAGAAAAGCTCCATACGAACTTCTTGTCTTTTTTTCGAAACATTTTAAGAAAAAAAGAAAGCGCTAAAAACGCTCCTCACTAGATGGCGACTCTAGCAAAAGTTAATTTTTGCAGGAAAGTATTTTAAGAAAAAAAAGAAAGTACTAAAAATGTACCTCACTAGATGGCGACTCTAACAAACGTTGTTTTTTGCAGTAAAGGTAATGGACCAAAATTAGTCATTTCCGTTCCTTTTAACTAACATGTTAAAAAACTGAAATTTGCAAAGATCGAAACTTAGATCTCAATACAAATACGAAAAAGTACAAATATAAGTAGAATATGAGTTGTTTATTTAGTTTTAAAAATTAATTTACTTTTATACATGAAGAAAAACCGGAAGGGTTAGCATGGAGAAATCAAGAAAGTACCGTAGCGACAGCGAGTTTGATTTCGGGAACTACTTTTTTTTTTAATACTTCCTCTTTCATGGCCCATTTGTGTTTACACAATTCCAACAATGTCACTCGGAAGTTGGACGCAACAAATTTTACACTTTCAATTTTGTCAAATTTTTTTTGTTGAGCTTAACGGCTCTGGATTCAAGTCCTTTTGAGCCCAATTTTGACATTGTTTTGCAGAATTGCCAGATTTAAAATCATTTGTCGAATATTTATCTATTTTGATGTGATTATATCAGTACTCCAGCAACTATAATAATCAGAAAGCGATAAGATAGTTGTTATTTTTTTGTAAAAAAAGATACTAAGACTTTTTACAAAATAAAATTAAACAAAAAAATTAAACATGAAAAATACATGTAAGCATTCTATTTCCTGACCAACACACGTAGCATGCATGACAATCGAGAACGTTTTGTCAAAGTATTCCCAAATGTCACTTTGGTCATACAACAGCTCACTCTCTACTGAAGAAAAGTGATATTAGATGTAGACAAAGCGTTTCTCGCGTTTCTCGGGTTTGTCATGCTACACATGCTACACAGGCAATAATTAGTTTCGTCTACTAATTATTTTCATATTAAGCTATTCATCAGCAAAGGTTGCTTATCAAACTCGAGAACGTTTTGTCTACAACCAAATGTCACTTTTCTCGGGTTTGCACTTACGATATCTCATTCTTAACCTGAAAATAATTATATTAGGTGCAGACAAAGCTTTCATCGGGTTTGATAAGCTATGCTAAGCGTGCTGGTAACCGAAGAAAAGTGTCCCCATGTTGTACCAGACTAGTGGGAAATCAGAAAATTTAGGGTATTTGACGATTTTCTGAAAATTATTTTAAATGGTTCTTTGATACATTATAAACATACTGTCAATATATTTCATGAGAAATTGTTCTATTTTTGATGAATATAATTGTTAAAGTTTAAATAGCCATAATCGCGCAAAAAAAAGCTGCTCTTTGCTCAATAGCGCTGATCAAGTGGTATTTGTGACGTCACATGCCGGTAAATATATCAAGACGACATAACCTATTTATCAACTATTTATTTACGAAGTAAACAAATAGTATTACAGAAGAGAAATTGAAGTTAAATTATATGTTTCATATTTGTATCTACTCTGGTTTTGTTTATAAAAATGAGCTACAAATTGTATGTATTAATACAAATTTTGCGTATCTCTAATAACTCTGTTTTGACATGACAGCTTCCGGTTTATGTGTGACGTCACATGCCGGTAAACAGTATCTGTTATTGGTTGCGACGATAACCAATTATAGGGCGTTTACGTCATTCATTAACATTCTTTAAAATGTTGCATTTTCTTTATGTTATTTTACTAAAGCTGAACATATGCTATCTGATTATTATCTAACAAGATGACCATAATACGCAACTTATTTTTAATAATATCAAATACCCTATTGCAATATTGGGGATACGGGATAAGATCTTCTTGATACTTGTAATATATTTAATATTTATTTGTATAAAAGAAAGTCGTGTTAGTTATACCATTTATAACTCGAGAACGGCTGGACCCACAGAGAACAGAAAGACGTATTGGACCGTTGTTGGACAGATTTTTTGGATTTAGGTATCTGTATCGGGAATAGGATGATAAGTATTAAAATATTTTATTTTATTAACAAAAATGATAATTATAAAAGAGTCAAATATTATTTATTGAATTAGTGATAATAAAACGCAACTGACAGTTTACATGATATGCTAAATCTGAAATTTGCTCATTCATTGAGTGTTCATTGACTATTAGGAGGAACCGAGAAGATTATATATTTTTAAATTAGCCACGGCTGCATTTGCAGTCATTAATAACTAAATTACTGTTATACATGAAAGAAAACCGGAAGGGTTGTCATGGAGAAATTAAGAAAGTACCGTAGCAACATCTAGTTTGATTTCGGGAACTAATGCTGGACCTGAAAAGCATTAGGTCGGATGTCGGGAATCTTAGGCATAACTGTATAAAAACAGAAATAGCTAAATGCAATCAAAATATTTGAAAAAGTCGTCTGATCCGACTTTATGCATGACTGTTGCTCATGAGTAAAAAGGCACAAACATACAAGAGTTAATTTGCCGGTAAGAGAAAAAAGAGTGTAGCAACGTTATGGCGATAAGTGATTTTAGCTGGTTCTGCACATCCGACCTAATGCTTTTCAGGTCCAGAATGGTTTTTTTAAGTACTTCTTCATTGCAATGTCGATCGGTCGCAAGTAAGCACTTATGTCGAGGCTCCCTGGACTATCTATAATATTTTTATAACTGGGTTGGGACCTATATAGTTTTTGAAAAATTATAAAGAAAACCTACATTATTTATTGTAATAAAATACTGCAAACCAAGTAACTTTTTTTTTAAACGCAAACGCATTTCGCCCCCTTTGGCATCTATTTACCTATGTCCTCCGGTTGTAAAGTATTATTTATTCATTTGAAGGTCATCCTGAGGAATTTTAATAAATTTAAATTTATTTTCATCTTTTAACCTTTTTATTTTTCTTCGGTGTAAAAAAATACTTTCATTTGTTAACACGCCTTCAAACATTTATTAGTATTGTTTAGATAAAATTTCATACATAATTATAATTTATGAATACGCGCAAATCATTAGTCTCCTTCTCTCTTCTCATTGAGCTCCTTCTTCACAGTTTTTGCTATAAACATAGTCATAAAATATAATAATATCAAATTAATATTATTACAAATATTCTCGGGTGTTTCTTCGAAGTACAACTTTCGGTTTGATGCATCCATCATTATTGTTCTTCAAAAATATTGAATAGTTTTTTTTTTATTTTAAAAACTGATGCCACCGATTTAAATATATATATATATATATGAGATTTAATTATTTTTGAAGAACAACAATGACAGATGTTTCGCAGCTGAAGTTCAATTTCCGAAGAAACACCACCCATCTTCTTCTAAACTAAACAAATTCACACTGACTTGACAGTTTTCAACGGTTGTCAATTTATATTGCCCTAAAAAAATTTAGATTGTTTCTTGTGTTTTGATTTCGATTACACCTATAGCTTTATAAATGTTTTGTTTAGAAAATAATATATTTGCCTACATAATAGCCAATTATCTTGCTTTATTTATGCTGAAAGCATTCGGTTTACTGCTATTTTTTCCATGACTCAAATAAAAAGTTTTAGCGTGTATAGCCTTATTGGATTTTATATTTTTATAGTGGCAACATTTCTATCCAATTCCTCGTCAAAAGAAAAATGCCGCTGCCAAGAAGAAACGTAATGATAAAGGTATTTCGGATCGAGTTAAAGTTTATCAATAATTAGTCTTTATTTTGAACAAACTTAATTGAATAAAATTATTCAGTCACTTTCACATCTTCATTGAGATAATGTGATTTGATATTAATTTCGTATAATTACGTTTTAGGTTGGTTTTCTGCGTTGACAGTGAAGATCGCGTATTTTCTTTTTTAAGTCAAATAAATAGGATAAAATGTTCGAAATGGTAAGTATTTTATGACCTTCTCAACTAATAGTTATTGCTTTATGCATAATAGAAGTTATTGTTGTTTAAAAACATTGTTACAAAATTTTGTCATTGTTTTCAGAATACGGCCGAGCCTATGCAGGTGGATGTCCCAATGGAAGATAATGAAAACAATGAAACCGAATGTTACGTTGTCGAGAACCCGACGCTGGATTTGGAAACATATGCTGCATCATATTCCGGTTTCGCCAAATTGTACAGACTCATGTTTGTAGCAGATCACTGTCCTTCTCTTAGGCTAGAAGCTTTGAAAATGGCTATATCGTATGTCATGACCACATATAACGTAAGTCTTTATCAAGCACTCCACAAAAAACTAGCTGAAGCTGTAGCATCTGCAGGGTTGCCTGATGTAGCAGTTCAAATGGGATCACAAGACATACCTGTTCTTGATACTATGTGGGTAGAATCAAGAACTAAAAAAGCTGCCATCAAATTGGAAAAGTTAGACACAGACCTCAAAAACTATAAAACAAATTCAATAAAGGAAAGCATTCGGAGAGGACATGATGATTTAGGAGATCATTACCTTGATTGTGGAGATCTGACAGGAGCACTCAAATGCTATTCCAGAGCGAGAGATTACTGCACAAGTGGAAAACACATAATAATGATGTGCCTCAATGTAGTTAAAGTGTCAGTCTATTTGCAAAATTGGGCACATGTTCTTAATTATGTATCAAAAGCAGAAGGTACCCCTGATTTTAATGAAGTACCAGGAAAAGACTCTAATCAGTCGATACTCACTCGTTTAAAATGTGCTGCTGGATTAGCCGAGTTAGCAACAAAAAAATATAAATCTGCTGCAAAGCATTTCTTAGCTGCTAGCATTGACCACTGTGATTACTCAGAGCTGCTTAGCAGCAATAATGTTGCGGTGTATGGAGGATTGTGTGCTCTTGCTACTTTTGACAGGTCTGAATTACAAAAGCAAGTCATAGTTAGCAGTTCTTTTAAATTATTTCTAGAACTAGAGCCGCAATTGCGCGACATCATTTTCAAATTTTATGAATCTAAGTATGCATCCTGTTTAAGGTTATTGGATGAAATAAAGGACAATCTTCTCTTAGATATGTATTTAGCACCACACTTAAATTCACTGTATATGCAAATTCGTAACAGAGCACTCATCCAGTACTTCAGTCCTTATTTGTCTGCTGATATGCGACTAATGGCTGCAGCATTTAATCGCACTGTAACGGCACTTGAAGATGAACTTATGCAACTAATACTGGATGGACAGATTCAGGCTCGAATTGATTCTCACAATAAAATATTGTATGCTAAAGACGTAGATCAAAGAAGCACCACCTTTGAGAAAAGTCTTGCCATGGGTAAAGATTATCAACGCAGGACATCTATGCTGATATTACGTGCTGCAATGCTCAAAAATCAAATTCATGTGAAGGTGAGAAAATATAATATCTATTCTTGAATGCCTTGGCCTTGTTAACATTGTAAAGTCATCAAGCAACCTTAATAGTCATGAAACCTTAATCGTGTTAAAATTTCAAAGTAGCATAAATATCAAATTATAAATCTGAATTATGTGATAATTGCTATGATAGCTTTACTTGTTATTTATGTTTCAATGCACTTTTGAAACATTTTTAATATTTCTGAAATTGTACTTGTGCAAAATGGATGTGCCATTAGGTTCATAAATATCTAAATGTCATTTACACAGCTATTCTACCCATCCCATTAATATTTCGGAATAATTGTAGTGTCTATTTAATATTTGTTATTAGTCAAAATAGCTAAATAAGCAATATTGTTTCGGATTTCAGAATGTTGGTCGTGACACTGGTCCACAAAGTGGTGAAGCTCCTGGTTCTAGCACAAGTATCGCTACGCGCACCTTTGATACAGTGACTTTGTGATGATTTTACTCGAACACATAGGACATTCATTACTTTTGCATGACAATTTGAATACTTTGTTAAGTGCAATGTTTTGTGAAATACTTCTAATATTGTTACCTCAATATGAATCAATTATCATGCAAAATGTAAATGTTAAAAGAACTGTTTGTGTAATATCTGCTTATTTTTCTTTTATAGTTAAGAACAAAGGAGTAGGCTGTCGTAATTTCGATAACTTACTAAACCAATATGAAAATTTAACACTGGAAAATGTTAATCAGCAATCACAACTTTAAAAAGCTGATGCAAACATATTTTCAACATTGTTTATACTGAATTATTCTATGTAACCACAAAATATTATGTCTACGTAATTTTTAATTAAAAAGTAAAGGCATTAAAAGTTTTGTTTTTAAAATTCACATTTTCTCTATGTTTTTATCAAACAGGGTTCAAAAGACGATTTTTATAAGATCTGATTATTTGATAGATCTATAAAAAATATATACCTACATAAGGTTTTTTCGATTTTTTACAATGATAATAAAACAGGAAAACAAATTACTTGTTATTAGAGTGATTAGTTAAAACATATTTATTTATGAATTAATTAACTAAGCAAACAAGACATAATATTTATGTTCACCAAGTTTTTAAATACAATTAACGCCATCTAGTTAAAACTAATGACTTAGTTTCTGCAGTCATCTGCAGAAACTAAGTCATTAATTTTATACAATTTATATATAAAAAATTAAAATCGAGACAAAAAATATGGTGGTAATATATTTTCGAACCCTGTAACGTCATAAAACTAAATTGACATGTCTCAATGTTAACTCGCTCCATTGGTGCAAAAATGCAAACATTTATTTGAAAGTGTAAACTAAATCCATTATAGAAAGGGCTGTATCATATTTGCTGTCCATAAATAATTGCCAGCAAGGGATGTGTATAAAGAAAAGAACACATAGATTCAAATTTAATTTAATTCTTAAAATTTAGAGAAGCACTTAGTCGTCTTTCTCACTACATGCAATAGGTTGAAAACACACTGGGCAATTTCCAGTAGCAACTCCAAATGTCGGGGGGCGACCACCTAAGCAAGCTACCAGCCACTGTAATAAATAGAATTAAGTATTTAAACATCATAATAAGAAGTTTCAATAATAATAAAATGTTAATACATGGTGAAAACTTTTTTGTACTGCATTATTGTCATCAATATATTTTTGTGGCTCTATTTAGCAGTGTTTTACATTTTAAAAATGAATACCTGAAAAAGACAGTCTCGGTGGAAATAAACTCCACATTTAGCATTTTGGCATAGAGGCAAGGGTACTGCAGGATTTCCGGGAAGTGTTGAACAAAGGCATATACCGCATGAAGTTGAAGGTACTTCAAGAGGTGGTGCCATTTCAATACTTGTTGTTGAAGACTTTCTAGATGTTATAGGAGTAGGAAAGTTCACTAAGTCTGAAAAAGAAGTAAAGCAACTGTGAATGCAAAATTAATCAAATATAATAAGAAGTATTTACTTGTCATAATATAATGAATAGTGGTAGCAATTCTGTTAAACAAACGTGACAAAATTTTTTTTTAATTCTGTAAAACTTCAGAAATAAATTTATTCTATTATATCTTTTCAATTACTGTGAAATAACATTAAAACGTAGCCAAATAAAAATTTCAATTTTTGGTTTAGAGGGTAATACAATGATTAGCCCAATCATTTGCATAATGGAATTTATAAGTATTTAATAAAATCGTTATCGTACAAGGCGTTATTTTGCGGAAGTCCATTGCTATAATCGTGAAATTAAGATATCTTAACAACTTCCAAACCCAGTCTTCATCCATACCTTCTGTGTACCGCACGCACACAAATTCACAAGTACAAATAACATCAAATCTCTCAAAATCAATACTCTATACGTGCCTCCTTAGTACACCGAGTTAGTACACCTTACAGTGGTTGGCACTGTAACTTCTACAACTCCTAAAGATGCCCCGTGGATGGGTTGAAACACATGTAGGGTGATGATTTTGCAAGATATGTTGCCGTTTGTACAAGAATTTGTGTGCAGGCAGTACACAGCTGCCCTGCGATTCTGTAAAAATCCTAACCCGAATTCGAATTCACTCAGGTGTCAGATCACTTTAAACACTTTTTCACTTTGATTCACTTTAAAAGCGGCATCCGCTCAACCTTGAATTGTTACTAACGTTTCGTGGCATAAATGAAGTGAGAATATCTGATACACGTTTAATAAATCTAGTATAACAGTTGCCGTATTTCAGGATATTCGAGTCCTCTTCCTTTCTTCGGACTTCAGATACTCCTACGATGTGCTAATGTAATCTGCCTCTCTTTCCCTAGTTCGATAAGCTTCTTGTCGGCCCGCAGTGTCTGTAGGTACCTACGTTAGAGCGAGGCCCTAAAAATACGTTTCACTGCGTTGCGTCTTCGGTGCGTCATTTTCCATATTTTTTTATGACGGAGTATCCATTAGACCGTTGCGATGTCGTGCGTCAGTCTCATCGAATCGACGGACAAGAGACGAAGTGGGAGGGAGCGTGATGCGCTACGTTGTCGGAGCTTCACTGCAACGAAATCGTGGTGTCAAGCAACGCAGGTGTGGCATACAATGCACTAATGGAACCTCGCTTCATCAGGCTACTATAAACGATGACCATTGCCCCTTATGTTGCCAGGGGCAATGGTCATCATTTATAGTAGCCTGATCTCATTCTTAGCACCCTTTGCCTAGCTGTTTCCTTACCCGCTACCGTGGTCAAGACTCACGCAGTTGCCCGGAACTAAGGGGGATAGACCTTGTGCATCAATTTTTTGGGTATAATGCCGTAATCGCCACGCTTGGCAAGCGGGTTGGCGATCGTAGTATAACAAAATAAAGGACGCTGCGGCCCATCTTCTTGGAATATAATCCTTAATCGCCTTTTACAACAACCACGTGTAGAGATGGAGTGGTACGATTTTAGAGCAGCAGCACACGCTTCTGCGGGATGAGAAGTCTTAATTAAGTCGCCATGATATTCACCCCTTTAGGTGGTAGCGTGGCGGCACGAATCAAACATCTAGCGCTCGTTAAACCCAAAGTGACACCGTAATTTATTATTGATATGTTATATCCATGTCGCAGCCAAGTGGTATAATCAGCCGACCAATTTAGCGGCTAGACCTTTCATTAAATGGCGCCATTCAATTACCAGGCTGACTTTCGAGCAATTCAAGCCGAACGCAAAGTAATTAACTGTCAACACACCGAGAACATCGATATTTATTGTTAGGGTTAGAAGTAAAACAAAATATTGTAGTGGGTGAAATTAAATACAACTCAAAAACATCTCGTTACGATGTGTAATTGATACAGATACAGGACTGATAAAAAAAAAAACAAGAAGATGCTTATTCGCGACTGGGTGGTAACGGTTCGTATGATTCAATACAGGAAACTAACGCGCACATCAATAACGCAAGTGGGTTAAGCTTAAACTTTCATAGTAATGTCAAGTTGCTTTTTTTCCATTTTAGTACGCAGTAGAATCGACACGCCTTGCAAAAATTACAAACAAATGTTTTTTTTTAATAATTGTCCTTTTATTGAAGTCTTATTTTATGACTGATCCTCATAGCAACTTGATGGTCAGATAGTTCTTGCTTTCTCAATTCAGCATTTTAGCGATTTTAATGCGTGACGTGCGTTACATTTTGGCAAAGGATATTCTGCCATCTCTTCAATTTGTAGCAGCATAGGTATCGAAGTATCGAACGTATATAATTTCAACTACTCAGCATTTTTTTCACCCCATTATTTATCTTTAATACTTTAACTTTTAGTTGCTATTTTAGAAAAACTGCTTTCTACCATTATCTCATTTCAAATATTTATTTTTATTTTTAGTTATTCTTAATTATCTATTATTTATAATTATCGACAGTAGCACATTTTTAATTTCAAGATTTTATTTTACCACTTTGTCGGCGTGATTAAGTGTAAACCATGCTAAAATACACCATTCTAATAAAAAATATTTTTGAAACCTAAACCTAAACCGCAGACCGACGGACAAACAGACAAAACATGAGAAAACTATAAGGTTTGCTGACTATGGAACCGCAAAAATTAAAATGAAAACAACTTTGATAAAAACCGGAAAATAAAAACGACAAACACTAAAGGAATCAAAACCACGTTTTAATAATACAGTAGCGTCATCTAGCGAAAACAACTAATTGTATAATTTTTTTTTCGACTGATTAACAATTCCCCATTCAATTATGTTATTGAAAAAAAAAGCTTCTTTGTTTGATAAAAATCGGAAATAATAATGACTACAAACATAAAAATCTAATCCCGTTTTAAAAGTATAGTAGTGTCAATTAGTGATCAGTAACTGAGCAAAATGTAACATTCAATTTCCATGTTCAAACTAATGTTCTTTTTATATTTTTACTTTACTTATTTAGTAAATAGGTGTGCATTGAAAGGTTAAAAAACAAAAAAAAGTTCAACTTCATCCCTCCCGTTTTATAAAGAGGTGACCTACAGGAGACATTGGGCCATCTATACTAATAATAAACGTGAAGAGTTTGCTTGTTTGATTGAAACCTGCAATCTCAGAAACCCTGGAACGAATTGAATAATTGTTTTTGTATTGAATAATCCACTTATCGAGGAAGGCTCAAGATAGGCTATATAACATTTCGCTATGACTTATAGGAGTGGATCAGCAATGAAAAATGTTACAAAAATCGGGAGAATATTTTACATTTTTAAATCTTTCCATGCGTGCGCTGCGTAAACAGTGAAAGTTACACTTCATAAAAATCATTTATGAAGCTGACTTTTTTTTTAAACTGTTAAAGAGGAAAGTTTAAAAAATGTCCGCGACAGCATATGTTTATCTTAAATCTTATCCCGAATAAAAAAACACATACAGGGATGAAAATGGGAGTGGAAATTCGTATAGGCAGAGTATAAAGAGTAAGTGCTCTTCATACATACGCACCGAAAATGGTTTGTATGTGAGCACGCCCGTGCGTATGCGTCGTCGCACGCATACTTACAAAATTATCGAAGTTATAGGAGTTCAAGGCACGAATGGCAAGGCAACTCGCCAGTCGTGGCTAGTACGCCGTGCTTGCGTATATACCGTTTCGCTGTATTACCGCTCGTTATAAAATTTCTGGACGTAATAAATAAACAAATACAAGAAGACTTTAATAAATAAAGCAAAATGTTGTAAATGCATTTAGAAATCAAGTATATGGTATTTCACATTTTTATAGATCAAGTATATGGTATTTCGTTCTTTAGGTACCTATTCGGGTAATTTATCATAAAGTAATTATAATTTTCTGTAGCTATTTTGCCCATCGAACGTGTTTATGAATTAGGTATTTCTGCTCAAGATTTCGTTTACCAGATATCAATTTGTAGTTTAATTTATTAAATCTCTATGCTCCAATACCGCCAAATTATCTTATTTTGTTCGTCGCCTGATTATTTGGAAAAAAAAATGAATTAAAATCACGTTTTAATTTTACAGAACACTAAATTGATGTCATGACATGACGTAGATATGAAAAAAATTGT